AAACACAAAACCAGGAGAAAATGAAAGGCCTATAAACCCAAGTACCAGCACTAGCCCTCGTAAAACAAACCATGAAAAGTAACAACATAAACAAAATTAAGAAAAATCAACCCACCTCAAATCAACAACTGAAAGATCATATGAACCTCCACCTGTAAATATGTATAATATTAGTAAATTTTATTAGGGATACTTATTGTTCAACAAATTACAAAAGAAAAGTGTAAGTTCACACTGATATCAAATAAAAAATGGAAAATAAATGTCCCCAATAGTGATATCTACAGAGCACTCACGGCAAAATTAAATGACTTGAAAATTGAATGGCACACATACGAAGGTAAAAATAATAGACCAATTAGAGTCATTGCAAGAGGACTTGACCATACTTGCAGTGAAAATGATATCATTGAAGATTTAAAGGAATACAAAGTCCTCTCGGCTAAAAACCTAATAAAAAGAGCTACACAGGTTTTAGAAAGTGGTATTCGAATAACGAAAAGATATCCAATGCCAATATTTCCATTAACGTTCGACAACAGTAGTAATGTTAGCGAAATATACAAAATCAACCAAATAATGGGAATTAAAGTTAGAATTGAGCCGTTACGTAATAATACAAAAGTGGTTCCTCAATGTAAAATATGCCAAATCTTTGGCCACACACAACGCTATTGTAACAGGGAATATACTTGCGTTAAATGTCCTGAAAATCACCCTACCGCAAAATGTCCAAAAAAAAAAGAAGACCTTGCAAAATGTGCAAACTGCCTAGGCGATCACCCAGCAAGCTACAGGGGATGTAAAATAGCAAAAAAATACCAGGAACAAAGAAAGTCAAAAGTGAACAACAAAAAAAGTCTGATCGTAGAGTAAGAGAAATAAGAAACAAAAAACAACATATCCGCTCCATCTGAAACACACAAACAAAATAAAATATCTGATACATATGCTGAAATAGTTAGAAATAGAAGACAGCAAAAAGAAGACAATATATTAGAACAGCTAAAAATTATGGCAGCCAAACTAGATGCCCAAGAAAAATGAATTAAATGAAATTAAAGAAAAAATTAAAAAAAATAAAAACATCAGAAAATGAATAGTAGAAAATAGTAATATGGAATGCAAATGGACTGCAGTCCCGCCTTAATGAATTAAAACTATTCCTGATCCAAGAAAATGTTGACATTTGTTTGATATCTGAGACTCATTTCCACAGGCAGTCTTTTGTATCAATTTATAATTATAAGTTTCATCATACACCACATCCTGAAAATAGGGCTAGAGGTGGTTCAGCTATATTAATAAGAAGTAATATTGATCACAATGAAGAACCAAAAATATCTTCTGCAAGTGTCCAAATGACTACGGTGCGTATTAATATTAAGAATAAAAATTTGAATATTGCTGCTATATATAGCCCTCCAAGATATAGCTTAAAAAGTGAAGATTTTATCGAGTTAATTAAAGACATTGGCGAAAATTTTATAGTTGGAGGAGATTTTAAATCAAAACATAGAACTGATCACACCAAAAGAGACTGATCACACCAAAAGGACGAGAGCTGTACAATGCAAGCAGAATAAAAAAAATGGACTACATTATCACCTCGCACACCCACGTATTGGCCTACTGATATTAATAAAACACCAGATATAATAGATTTTTTCGTCACAAAAGGAATTTCAAAGGACTTTGTAGATGTTAAAGCTGCGGAGGACCTGTCATCGGATCACTCATCTGTGATATTAACCTTAAGTGAAAAACCGTTGACTAAAAAGGAATTACCTTAGCTTACAAATAATAGAACTAATTGGGCTTTATTCAAAGAAAAAATCACAACATATATAAATTTGGATGACAATATTAACATTAATAACCAAAACACCTTAGACATAGTAGTTGAGCAGTTCACCGCAGACATTCAGCAAGCAGCATTGGAAAGTACATCACTTAGTATAACCAAATATAACCAACATAAAAGCTATCCACAGAAGGGGCTAAAGTTGATTAAAAAAAAAGAAAAACTAGACGAAAATGGCAACAAACCCGATTTCCAGACTACAAAACAAAATTAAACAAAAAAATTAAACGAACTCTAAATGAAATAAAAAATGAATCAATAGCCACATACCTCCAAGGTCTGATAGCTGAAAAAGAATCGGATTATTCCCTAAGGAAATCAATAAAAAATTTTAAAAGGCCGATAAATCAAGAAGCACCAATAAAAAGAGCAGACAACACCTGGGCAAAAACAGGGAAACAAAAGGCTGACCTGTTAGCGCAGCACTTAAAAAACGTTTTCACACCACTAGAAAAACAATCAAACAATGAAAACATTACTTTAATACAACATGATGACTATGTGGATATTCCCTACTGCACAATAGATGAGCTGCAAAGCATAATTGGAAACTCCATCTCAAATAAAAAATCACCAAGCTATGATCTTATTACTGGACGAATAATCCATGAATTACCACCAGTGGCAATTAAAAGGCTGAAAAACTCCATAAATGCCTGCTTCAAATTAAAATATGTACCCAAATTGTGGAAGATTGCAGAAGTAATTTTGATATTAAAACCTGGAAAAAATCCTAGTGAAGCAACGTCATATCGTCCAATTTCACTTTTGCCAACACTGTCAAAAGCTTTTGAAAAAACTCTTCATAAAAGATTATGTAACATTATACAAGAACGTAACTTGATCCCATCACATCAATTTGGATTTAGAAATAATCATTCTACGACATTATAGAAAAATCGCTTGAAGAAAAACAAGTTTGCACCGCTGTCTTCCTGGATATAGCGCAAGCATTTGATAAGGTTTGGCTGGAAGGATTAAAATACAAACTCCATAGGGACCTACCGATGCAACAATACGAGTATCAAATACTAAGTTCATATCTAACAGATAGAAAATTCAGGGATAGAATATTCCGAACTGGTTAACATAGGAGCAGGAGTACCCCAAGGAAGCGTGCTTGGGCCTACACTGTACCTTATTTATACAAGGGATATCCCTAAAGATAGCAGTGTATTAACGGCAACATTTGCTGACGACACCGCCCTCCTTTCCAGAAACGCAGACCCAAATGTTGCAGCCTGTAATCTACAAAAATCAATAAATAAAGTTGAAAATTGGGCGAGGATAAAGCTGAATGAGGCTAAATCTACACTTGTTAATTTCACGAATAGAAAAGTAATCCAATTACCCGAATAGGGGTTAATGATGCAATAATACCTTACTCAAATAGTGCCAAATACTTGGGAATGACTCTGGACGCCAAATTGAGGTGGAAGGAACATATAAAAATTAAAAAAAATGAACTTAACATAAAGTACAGAAAATTGCATTGGCTTTTAGGCAAGAACTCAGAATTGTCAATCAACAATAAAACTTTAATATACAAACAAGTGTTAAAACCTGTATGGCTACACGGCATACAACTTTGGGCGTGTGCAAAAAAGACTAACACTAACATTATACAAAGATTCCAGAACAAGGTGCTTGGAAACATGCACCTTGGTATGTGAGAAATTACGATATACATAAAGATTTAAGAATTGAATTGGTCGAAGACGAAATAACCAAATCGGCAATCAAACATAAAAATAGGATCTCCTCCCACAACAACATGGAAATCCAGAGAATAATTAACAATAATAGCAGTGACTAACGACGCTTGAAAAGGACGAAGCCCCTGTATCTGGCTGATCAAAACTTAGATTAAGAGGATTCAAGGAATCAGAGATTAATAAATCCTTAGTCAATTTGTAACATGAGTTGGTCGGTGTAATAAATAAAGATAATAAAAAAAAATTATAAAAAGTTGATGATAATAAATAAAGATTATAAAAAAAAAAAATTTAGAGTTTATTTCTTTTAAAAGCTTATAGTGAATTGCCATTATTTACGCTCTATTTCTCTTCAATCAGATTGCTTCCATTTACACTATGTTTTTATTTTATTTTAAATTTTGTACATTTGTTATGAATGTATCAAACTCATCTACAAATTAATATTTGTTTCTTCACAAAACATTTGCAATTATGTTGTTCCCATGCTTATGCAAATTTTTGAGGTCAAGTTTAAATTTTTTTACTTACAAAGCATTTCGATTAACAAAATTGTTTTCTTAATTAGAATTTATTTTGGTTTTGCAGTTTGGTAAGCAATAAGAAAGGTATTCCTGTAAATGCATTGAAAATTTAAATGATTTTTTTCTCAGAATATTTTTTTTTAATTCCAGAATTCAATTGGTTTTTTTTTGAAAGTGGTATAAGTCAATTTTTTAATATATTGAGATATTTAAGGGTTTGCGTTTGAATCAGTTTAAAAAAATTGGACATAACAACATAATTAATTTATTTTATGTCTAAATAGAACAATTATAATAATTAATCGAAATTACCATTAATTTAGTCTTTCAATTGAAAGTGGTATAAGTCCACTTTTTAAAAAGGTTAAGTTAATGGTAATTTTGTTAAGCTACAGACACCTTCTCTCCACAGTTACAATCATAATTTCCAAAACCAGTTCAATTTATATATAAGTATTTCATTTTAAAAAAAAATTACAATTGACGTTTTTACCGAAAATAATGATTCAAAACATAAAAATAAGCAGGAAACGTAAACCGATTTTAGCAACAGCACAACACTAAGTTTTATAGGTGGATAAAAACATTAAGTATGTATGTATGTAGGTAGGTACCTATTTAAATACAAAGAAAATCCGGATTATATTAAACGTTTTATTTGTGGCTCTTCTTTTTAATATTTATTTCCGTTTTGAACTTAAATAACTTCTTCACATTATGTCCTTTGAATCGCGAGAATTCCCTCAAAAAATTAATAATCATATTTTGTATTTCAAGTTTTAAACTCTTATTCAATATTTAGATTTGAGATAAATATACATACATATGTACGTACAAATTTCTCTAAAAATATACTAAAATCTTCATTAAAAATATTCATACAAATTGTTAAAATACCTTTTAAATACTTTTTATTTTTTATCATTTTTGTAAATATGTTAACATTTTTCGATCTTTATAGATGAAATTTCCTGTATATGGCAAATAACTGGAATAAAAATTACAAAAACCAAAAAAAAAGTGCGTCCTAAATAGTTCACAGCTAGAAAATTATCGATCGATTTCTACCTTTAAAATTTGTGTAAAAATACTCCGACAATTTCCGCACTTTTTTCGCATATTTTCTTTATATACACATATTTTTATCTTCTATTTATTAAATATTTTATTTTTGAATTGTTTGAAAAGTATTACTTTAGATATACTTAAAAATTAAAATTTATTTTTAATTATTTATTCCACCTTTTTATTTATATGAAAAAAAACCAGAGATATTCAATTTACTATTCAAACGTCAACCAACTGCAAATTACAATACATTATAAAATTCAAATGTCAAAAACCTTGTCTTGCCGTGTACTGATTATATTAATGGTGGCGTTGCCCGCTGATCTTAAAATTTATATTATATTACGAGTATTTTCAAGAATTTACTATATTGAAAAATCCACTTTCATAAAAAAATGTGTAATTCATTTCAATTAGCTGTCAAAATTTCGTCAGATTTCGCTTCAGAAGTAATCAGATTATGCATAATGACTTTGAAAATGAAATAAAGCAATTAATTTTTCGAGCAGCGACCAATTGATTTGATATTTGATTATAAAGTATACTTACTATTTTAATAGACTGCCTGTTAAAGAGTCTATCTTTTTTTTTTCTCTAACGGAATTTCCCAATAAATCATTTTCCGTAAAATTTTTTATAATATGTTATTTAATATGGGAACTCAGATGTTTTTGACAATCAATTAAGTAAAATCAGAAATAAGTTAGAGGTACTATTTTTTAATCATATTTTTTAGAAGCTGAAAATTGAAAAGGGACTTTTTTAATTTGGGCACAAAATAAACATAAAAACAATAAAAACAAAAAATAAAAAAAAAGTAAAAAAAAAATTTAAATATTAATATTTTGAGGATTTTAAAAACTTTTTGAATAATTTTAATTTTAGGGGGGCAAAAGTTGGCATGGGTCCTAGTCAGTCTCACATTTTCCTAGCAACTTACTTAGTAAGGCTGAGCAACTTACTTAGTAAGGCTGACGATAGCGGGTTAAAGCGAGTACTCGGCGCTTAATCCAGGTATCGTTGGTTAGGAAGCGCGCGGGCGGTAAATCCAGAAGGGTCTGACCTAGAATAGGCGGCTCTCTGATCTGCGTCTGATCCCTGAGGGACGGCAGTTTTTGAATCCTGGCAGTAGGTATAAAATGCAGAATTAAATCATTTGTGCAATGGACAAAACAAAAGGATTTAGTACCCCAGGTGGTAATTCAACTACGTGGGAGAATCCACCCTCTTCGGAGGTCGGCTCTACGGATTCTGGGGAGAGCCATTTATTGCATTTGATTGACGCCTACTCAACAGATGAGGAGGAACTCGCCAGAGAAACGGATTGGAGCCTACAGCAAAAGAGGTCCAGTAAAAAAAGAAAAGCGGAATCATCTCCGGAAGTGGTTCAGGTGACGACCAACGCTGAGAAAGCGGATATTCCTGATTCTAAAAGTCGAGGCAATGTCACGAAAAACTCTAGGCCGCCTCCAGTAGTCATAAGTAATGTGGTTGACTACAATAAAATAGAGTCAACATTAAAAAATAAGGACATCCATTATAAGGTTAAAATGATGAACAACAATCAATTTAAGCTTATTGTAAATTCCGAAATGGACTACAGGAATCTTACCAGGGCCATGAACGGATCTGGACTAGAATGGCATACCTATGAGAGCAAGCAGGCCGGACCAATAAAAGTCATGGTAAGAAATCTTCACCCCAGTTGTAAACCGGAAGACATAAAAGAAGACCTAAGCTCTAGGGGTTACAAGATCTTAGATGTAACCAAAAAAAATAAAAAAAATTAAAGAAAATGGGAAAAACATTATGGTGCCTCTACCGTTGTTTATGTTAACATTCTCAAATGAAGAGGAGATGAAAAAAATTTATGAAATCGATCACATAAACAGGATGAAAGTTAGGATAGAGGCACTTCGAAAGGATAGGACCATTTCGCAGTGTAAAAGGTGTCAAAGGTATGAGCATACACAAAAATTTTGCCAGAGAGAACCGAATTGTGTTAAATGTGCAGGCAGGCACTTAACATCAGATTGTAGTAAGCCAAAGAGTACTGCAGCAATATAGGGGATGCCTTGTAGCTAAGGAACTACAAAAACGTAGAAATAAGAACAACAACAACAACTTGAAGAATTCTGAACGGCCACCGAGGCAATTCACCTCGAGAATAGTCTCAAAAGATGTAACATATAAGGACGTTCTCTAAACGAAAACTGATGACGGTGGCACGAGCAATAAAGCAAGGGCCAGTGACGTGGATGTTTTGTATAAAATGCAAAATATGATGCAGAACATGCTAGATATGATGGACAAAATCTCTCAGATTTTGAGCATTTTAGAGAGCGAAGGGAAAAAATCGAATACCAAAAGACCTGGTAAATGATGGCACGAGGTAATTTTAAAATAGCAACATGGAATCATGGAATTGCAGTGGTATTGCAAATAAAAAGGACATGCTTGAAGTTTTTCTGCATACACAGAATATAGACGTGTGCCTCGTAACTGAAACACATATGACCTCAAGAAGCAGGATTCGGTTTCCAGGTTATAGAATTTATAACTCGGACCACCCTGGAAATATAGCGAAGGGCGGAACGGCGATAACAATAAAAGAAAATGTGGTGCATCGCGATCTGCACCAGATGCAAACCGAGGGAATGCAAATGACGGCGGTTCAGATCACTTCGACTAAGCAGAAATTTAGAGTGGCTGCATTATATTGTCACCCTAGATTTAAAATTACGGCAGAAATGTTTCAATGCGTTCTGACAGACTTGGGCGATAGATTTATATTGGGGGGTGACTTTAACGCCAAGCACACTGATTGGGGTTCAAGGCATACTTGAACTAGAGGAAGAGAACTTAGGACAGCAATTGGAGGCACGGGGTGCCTTTTTCACTCTACTGCGAAGCCAACGAATTGGCCAACCGATATTAATAAGTGTTCAGATTTAATAGATTTCTTCATAACAAAACGGATTGCGAAAAATTTCATCGAGGTACATGATAACTATGATCTTGACTCCGATCATTCGGTGGTTATTCTTGAACTTAAGGAAAATATAGTTATGAAAAGAGCGAAACCTGCGCTGACAAATGGAACTACAGATTGGTCATGATTTTGCTTAGAGATTGAACGACAAATAGATCTAAGGAAAAGAATAAGAACGACCCAGCACATAGACGAGGAGGCCGAAAACTTTACTAAAATTATTCAAAATGCGGCTTGGAGTAGTTCCAAAATTAGTGCTATTAAAAGGGGGGGCATCAACTATCCCCCACATATACTAGCAAAAGTAAAACGAAGCAGGCGGGCGAGAAAAAGGTGGCAGCAAATTCGTGATCCGGCTGATAAAATCAGATATAATCGTGAATCGCAGCAACTAAGACGCTGTATTAGAAAACACAAAGAGGATTCGGTTGCTAATTATGTTCAAAATTTGACGGCGTGTGAGAAAACCAATTACTCACTGTGGAGGGCAACAAAGAAAATGAGGCAACCTATCAAACATCTCGCTCCTATCAAAAACAAAGATGGAACGTGGGCAAAAACTGAAGAGGGCAAGGCAAATGCATTTGCGGATCATTTGGCCGATATATTCTGCCCGCATGACAGCCAGGGCGTGGATGATAATGAGGAATATACTTTTATTGAGGATAGCGTGACCATTACAATTGTCAAGGAAAGAGAGGTCATAGAAGAAATAAGGACTCTTAAACCTAAAAATGCCCCAGGATTTGACCTAATAACCAAAATTATTACCCAAAAGGGGTATAACGATGCTTACACGCTAATGCGTGTACGAATATAAGGTTCAATTACGTGCCCGAAATTTGGAAAGTTGCAGAGATAATCATGCTGCATTTTGAAATTTGGAAAGTTGCAGATGTAATTGAAAGTAAAAGGTTAATTCCGAATCATCAATTTGGTTTTCGCCGGAACCACTCAACCATGAATCAGATTCATAGAATAACTGACCTAATAGAAAATTCACTGGAAGAAAAAACAATATGTTCTATCATATCTTTGGACGTGGCCCAGGCCTTCGACAAGGTTTGGCATTGTGGATTAAAAAGAAAACTTAGGCGATTACTACCAAGGCAGTATGTTGACCTGCTCGAATCTTACCTGACTAATATGGTATTTCGAGTTAAACAGGAAGAGGAGTACTCTTCGCTTAGGGATATCAGGTCGGGGGTACCACAGGGGAGTATATTGGGCCCGATACTGTACTTGCTATACACGTGTGATATTCCTTAATCGGAAGGAGTGACAACAGCTACATTTGCTGACGATACAGCAGTTATCGCAATAGGACAAAATGAAAATGAATCTACACAAAAATTACAAAAGGCAGGTGACGAGATCTCAAAATGGACTAGAAAGGGGAATATAAAACTTAACGAGGTGAAATCAGTACACGTGAATTTCACTAATAAGAAAATTTACAATTCATTGTCAGTTCGGATAAATGGCGTCTTAATTCCGTCCGCAAACACAGCGAAGTATTTGGGAATGACGTTAGACGCGAAGCTCAGATGGAAGGAGCACATAAAGAAAAAGAGATCTCAACTAGAGGAGGAATACAGAAAGTTTGAATTTTGGGGAGGCGTTCCAAATTGACAATATACAACAAAGTTTTGATATATAATTAAATATTTAAGCCTGTCTGGGCTTACGGTATTCAGTTATGGGACTGCGCTGCGCAGACTCATATCCAATCTATACAAAGATTTCAAAATAGGGTATGACGGGACATTGTAAACGCCCCTTGGCATGTCCATAATGCCGATATACACAGGGGTCTCACGATCCTAAGTGTCACAGATGAAATTAAAAAGCAAGCAGCCAATCATAAAATGCGTTTATCCAATCATGTCATATCGAGGCGGCTTGATTGGTTGACAATCAAAACTTTGTTAGGAGACTTAAACGTACGAGACCTCTCGAGTTAGTTTAGAGTTTTTTTATCTGGAACAATGAGTACTTAGTACGCTATTGTGCCAGATCAAAAGCTTGTAAATAAACAAAAAGGTTAGAGCAAAATTAATGGTTAGTCGTTTCCAACTATTTTTATAGTTTATTTTGAGGAGAGTGTTTTTTAGTGGATTAAAGTTCCACACTACTGCTTTTCGTCTGGCAGTGTCTTTCGAGCTTTTTCACCCTTCCTCTCGGTAAAAAAAAAATGGTGCTGAT